CTATTCTTACATCAATACCACACTTTCTTAATCATGATAGCTAGTAAGTCTTGAAATCGAGTAGTCTTAATCCTCCAATTTTGTTCTTCCTTTTTACAGTTGTTTTGTCTACTCTAATTCCTTTGCCTTTCCATATGTGTTTTATATTTAACTTCTCAGTATCTATAAAACTCTCTTATGGTCCAAAAACATAGTTTTATGATTTCTGTCCTTTTAAATTTTGTAAGGTTTGTTTTATATCCCAGAATATGGTCAATTTTGGTGAATCTTCCATATGCATTGAGAAGAATGTGCATTCCGCTGTTGCTCAGCGATCATTCTACAAGTGTTAATTAGGTAGACTTGCTTGGCGGTGGTGTTTAGGTCATCTATACCCTTGCTGATTTTCTGCCTGCTTGTTCTGTTAGTGACTCAGAGAGGAGTGTTGAACTCTCTAACTATGACTATGGATTTACGTAATTCTCCTTTCCATTCTATCAGTTTATGCATTTATTTTTTAAATATACTTTTATTTTAGAATAGTTTCAGATTCATAGAAAAGTTATAACAATATACCAAGGGTTCCCATATACTCCACATTCTGTTTCTTTTATTAACATGTTACATTAGTATAATACACTTGTCACCACTAATGTACCAATATCAATCCATTATTATTAACTAAAGTCCATGCTTTATCTGAATTTTCTTAGTTTTTACCTAACATCCTTTTCTTTTTCTGTCCCAAGATTTCATCTGTAATAAAACATTACATTTGGTTGTCATGTCTTCTTAGGCTCTACTAGACTGTGACAGTTTCTCAGACTGTCCTTGTTTTTCATGACCTTGATCATTTTGAAAAGTACTAGTCAAGTAGTTTGTATAATATCCTTCAATTTGGATTTGTTTGCTGTTTTTCTCATAATTACACTGGAATTATAGATTCTTACAAAGAAGACAAGACAGGTAAAGTATCATTTTCATCGCCTCATATCCAAAATACGTGCTGTCAACATGACTTTTCACTGATGGTGTTCAGCTTGACCACATGGTTGAAGTAGCATTTGTCTTAACTGTACAGTTACTACTGCCCTTTCCATACTGTATTCTTTGAAAGGAAGTTACTATGCACAGCCATACTTAAGGGGTGGAAATTTATGTTCCACCTCCTAAAAGCATGGACACCCCAGTAACGATGAGCATAATTTGTATCCAGATTTTCTTTTCTTTTCTTTTCTTTTTTTTTTTTTTTTTTTTTTTTTTTGATATGGAGTCTTGCTCTGTCACCCAGGCTGGAGTGCAGGGGCAGTGTAATCTCTGCTCACTGCAAGCTCCACCTCCCGCATTCACGCCATTCTCCTGCCTCAGCCTCCCGAGTAGCTGGGACTACAGGCGCCCGCCACATCGCCCGGCTAATTTTTTGTATTTTTAGTAGAGATGGCGTTTCACCGTGTTAGCCAGGATGGTCTCGATCTCCTGACCTTGTGATCCACCCGCCTCGGCCTCCCAAAGTGCTGGGATTACAGATGTGAACCACCTTGCCTGGCCCAGATTTTCATTTTTAATACTATAAGGAATAATAATACTATATTATTATTATTATACTATATTATTATACTGTATTATTATTATACTATAATAATATTGTTACTATAATAATACTATAAGGAATCCTTGTAGAAATGACTGAGTATATGGATGGGTCAGGAAATATGCAAGATGAACCTGGAGCATCTTGAGGTGCTGGAAAGTAAGAAAGGGCTCAAAAAACAAAATGATGAGAGAATATCAAAAGGGCAAGGAAGTCTTAATGACCAAAGCCATAATAATTTGAGGCAAAAAAAAAAAAATGTAGTATTGTATTATAACCCATTATAAAATAAATATCCATGAATTCATTCTGATATAAATGAGGGTTTGAATGAATGGGTGAATAACTTTATGATGATACTGCCACCTCAAGATAGTGGTGCTTCATTTATTTTGATGTTGTGTTGTTGGATGTGTGCACATTTAGTATAGTTACTTCTTTTTGAGGAATTGACCCTTTCATCATTTATAAATTGTCTCTCTTTATCTCTGATAAGATTCCTTGTTCTAACATTTACATTGTCTGAAATGAATATAGCTAGTTCAGCTTTCTTTTAGTGTTTGTGTGACATGGCTTTCTGCATTTTTTACTTTTAACTTGTCTGTGTTTTTATATTTAGAATATATTTATTTAGATAGCATAGAATTGATTCCTATTTTTTTATCCAGTCTGACATTCTTAGTCCCTTAACAGGTGTGTGTAGTCCACTCACATTTAAAGTCATTATTTATATGGTTGGATTAAATCTACCATCTTGCTAGCTGTTTTATTTATTCTATTTGTTCTTTGTTTCTTTTTTTCTCTTTTTGCGCCTTTTAATTTAATTGCATATTTTATTATTCCATTTTATCTTCTCACTGAAATTATCATTCATACCACTTTTTCAATAATTTTTAGACACAATTTTTTATAACATTGTTTAAAATTGTTATCCTAAGCTTAAAATATAGATTTATAATTAACGCAAATCAAATATTTTACTATTTCACATGTACTGTAAAGATCTTATAATAGTACACACCCAATTAATTCCTCCATACCTTCTTTGTGCTGATGTTGTTATGTCTATATTTACGTATACTATAAATATAACTTATTTTTATTATTTTTGCTCCAGACAGTTATCTTTTAGAGCAATAAAAATAAGAAAGAAAATGAATTTCACTTTACCAGTATTCCATTTCCAATGTTCTTCATTGCTTTGTGCGGATCTAAGTTTCTGACTCATAACATGCTCATTCTGCCTAAAGAATATCCTTTAATATTTCTTATCAAGTATGTATGCTAAAAATTAATTTCCCTGGTTTTTATTTTGAGGAAGTCTTTATCCTTTAGTTTTGAATGATATTTTCACTGTGTATATAATTCTGAGTCAACAGTTTTTGTTTCTGTTTTTCCTTCAGTAATTTGGAGGTATTCTTTTCTTGTTTGCATGATTTTGGACAAGCAGTCTGCTGTACTTTTAAATTTTCGTTGTTCTATAGATGATGTGTCTTTTTTTTTTTTTTTTTTTTTTTTCGGTCTGGATACCTTCAAGATTTTCTCTTCATCTTGATTCTCATCAGTTAGGAATAGAGTATGCCTAGGTGTGCATGTGTTATTGTTTACTGTTCAAATTTATTTTGCTTGATGTTCTCTGAGTTTCTTGGATCTGTGCTTTGGTGTTTGTTTTTAATTTTGAAAAATTTTGCAGCTGTTATTTTTCAAACATTTCTTCTGATCTGTTTTCTCTCTCTCTTCTCCTTCCATGATTTCTATGGTATGTACTTTAGGCTGTTTGACATTGTCCCACAGGTCTTGGATGCTCCGTTTTGTTTTTATTTTTTCTTTTCCCTCTTTTTTCTGTGTGTCAGTTTCTGGAATTTATACTCATTTATCTTCAAGTTCATTAATTCCTTGGCTGTGTTAAACCCTTTACAGGCATTCTTTATCTCTTATCTCATTTTTTATTTCTAGCGTTTTTGTTCGATTTGTAATTGTACTTTCCATCTCTCTGTTGACATTTCCCAACTGATTTTGCTTGTTATCTAACCTTTCCTTTAGAACCTTTAATGTATTAATCATAGTTATTTTAAATTATCTACTTCCAACATATGTGTCATTTCTGGATCTGATTATTGTTTTGCCTCTTAGATGTGTGGTTTTTCTTGCCTTTTCACATGCATCTTAATTTTTTGTTTAAAGTCAGGTATCTTATATAGTACAGTAAATACCAAAGCAAATAATATTTATGCTTGGAAATGAGCATGCCTCTTCTTCTACTTGGATTTTTGTGTGACATGTTGCATTAAATCTAATTAGGAATTGGGCTAGGTTTAAGGGTTGATGTTGCTGTGGTTACCCTCAGGCATCACAGGCTTCAAATTTTTCTAGTGATACCTTGAATTTAGGGTTGGGCTGGTTTACCAAAGGTTATTTTCTCAATTTCTATTTTCCCCTGACCTTGGGTCTTTCCTTTGTGTTGTGCTCACTGAGAATCTGTCACTGGCAGCTTTCCACTCTGTATCCCACTGCTATTTTTACTCAATATTTGTTAACCTGGTGGCGGAGGTGAGAAAGAACGTTCCCTCATGTTCTCATAAAACCTTTATCTTACAAGGCACTCCAGCTCTTGTTCTCAGAATTCCTATCGCAGGTGCTCCTCCCCCTTTTCCAACTGTAGTGCTGAGCCTAGCATTTATTTCTGTCCCTCCCCCAAGGGTAAATTGTTTTTTTCCGTGTTCTATTTCTCCAGTTATAGGAAGATATCATCAATGAGTTATCACTAGTGCCTTAAGGTAGCACAGTTTGTTGCTCTTTTCCCTGTACATCAAGGTTTTTTTTCCACAAGAGAGCTAAGGCAGATGAATTTGTTGGAGCTACTATAATGGCCACTGTTTCCCTCCCCAAGCCAGCATTATAAGAAAAGCTTTCTCAGGAGTCCTTTCAGTCTTCACTGTCAGTCTCCATTGTATTTGTAGGCTCAGAGACTTTCCATTCTCATTCTACCCCGCAGTTAATATTTAGCACTCTATTTTTAAAATTTAGCCGAATCTTCTTAATAGTTTGTATGTCATCCCAAGGAATCTGCCCCAGGTAGGAAATTTTTCAGCTGTTGTTTCTCCTTGTGGAGAAACCTGTCAGTATCAATCTCTCTCCAAATTTTGAGTTGGTTCTGCCCTGCACTCTTGGGTTTTTGTTTGTTTGTTTGTTTGTTTTTTATTATACTTTAAGTTCTAGGGTACATGTGCATAACATGCAGGTTGGTTACACATGTATACTAATAGGCTCAATTAGAGCCATTAATTTGCAGTCGTCCAGATTTTGCTTTGTGGAAAGAGGGTAAGTGGTGCTCTTTCCAGCTCTCTACATGCATAAATTTAAACCAGAACCTTTGGGTTATATTTTTAAGATAAAAAGCATCATGTCTCTGAGAGTGTTTGCTTTTCAGCTTCCAGTTATCATTGACTTGAGAAATCCGACTTTGAAGGCAAGACATTGGGCAGCTATTGAACAAACAGTTGATGCCACTCTAGTGGATACTGAAATTCCATTAACCTTGGAGAGGCTCTCCGAGTTGCATGTTTTTGACTTTGGTCAAGAAATCCAGGACATATCTGGACAGGCTTCTGGAGAAGCTGCCTTAGAAGCAATTCTTAAAAAGGTAAATCTGGAATATATATTTATCTATATATAATTAGGGAATGTGAAAGTTTTCAGATTCAACATTTGGTGATCTGGATGGATTTTTCAATGTTGCAGCTTTCACTCTCTCATTATCAGTCATCCCTCTGTTGTTTCCTTACAACAGGTATTACTGTTTTCACCTCTAAAAATCTCCTCCTTCTGCTTATCCTATAGCACATAGGAACTTGATGGCTACAAGGTTTGAAATGTGCATGCTTATATAAGAAACCATATCCCAAGAAAGATCTTTTAAACCCAAATAAATTATCCCCAAAACTACCAGAGAAATCTGTTAAATGCTTCAAAAGACATTAAGATTTTCCCAGTTATGATACTATCTCCTTACACTAAAAATATATACACACCTACTAACCCTCTGCATAAAAAGAATTTTTTTTCTGTCAAAGCGTATGTGTTAATGTCAATCAAATAAAATTAAGCAAATTAGTGTCATTTATCCAAGAAGAAGATTTTAAGAATTTTAAAGGGCAGGCCAGGAGTGGTGGCTCACGCCTATAATCCCAGCACTTTGGGAGGCCGAGGTGGGCGGATCACGAGGTCAGGCGATCAAGACCATCCTGGCTAACATGGTGAAACCTCATCTCTACTAAAAATAAAAAATTAAAAAAAAAAAATTAGCCAAGTGTGGTGGTGGGCGCCTGTAATCCCAGCTACTCAGGAGGCTGAGGCAGAAGAATGGTGTGAACCCAAGAGGCAGAGCTTGCAGTGAGCCGAGATTGCGCCACTGCACTCCAGCCTGGGCAACAGAGCGATACTCCTTCTCAAAAAAAAAAAAAAAAAAAAAAAAGAATTTTAAAGGGCAATAAGGAGGAAAATGGAATAATTATGGAGTTTTTACTTATTTCATTTCACATGCTTTATTGAGTATCTAAGCACACTGAATTCAGATATCCTAAGACTTGAATTATTTCTAAGGTGGAGGACTCTTGGAAAACAACTGAATTTGTCATTCTGCCTCACCGTGACTCCAAAGATGTGTTTATACTGGGCGGCACAGATGACATACAGGTGGGTGACTAGGTTATTGAAAGCTTATGGTAAAGATCCCAGTCACACCTAGTCTTAAATCTTCTGTGAGAGATTATCATGAGGGAATAAAATATGAGAGTCACTTAATAAGAAAAATCTAATTGGGAAAGCAAAATGAATGCAAATAATTAACATGAATGCTTGTACATGAAATATTTAACAAAGCGTTAAAAATTGCATATATATGTAAGAGTTGCAACCTGTAGTTGGTAACTATTGAGGAACTTACAAAAACAAGGAGACCAGTTATAGCTGAAGTGATCAGAGCATTCTTCCTAGACCAGTCATAACAAGCTGGATCTTAAATATTAGATGGGATTTAATAGACATAGAAAAAAAATAAAGGGCACTTCAAACCCTGTAAATAAGGCAAAGAAACCTGAATGAGCATTTCATGTTTATAGCACACTAAAAGGCTAAGTTCACTTGAACTTATTGGAATTAGGAGACAATGGCCATACTCTGTCAACCACAGAAGAAAATAAATCTAACTCATGTGTTTGGAATAGTCTTTATCATTTAAAATCTGAAGGCGCATTTGTTTAGCAAAGGGAGCTGGGTCACATAGCCCAACTTAAAAGGCAACGCCCTGGCCTAATAGGGTGTATCCAGGCCGGAATTAGAGATAAAATAGCTTTTCCAGGTGTGGGTTGGAAGAGCAAGACCAGACATCACTCTGCACAGGGGATGGGAGAGCAGACTCAAAGAGGTCAGTAAGTTTAGGCTAAATGTAGTGAGGGTTCTACTCTCAAAAGGCTTATTATTGAAATGGACCATTAAATCTTTCAGATTAACAGACACATTTTTTAAAATTCACATGCTTCGTGAGAGATGCTGTTGTATAAAGGGGAGTAGTAGGGGAGGGAGGTAGAGGAGAAACTGTGTATAACCGTTCAGAGCTTGATATGAATGAGTTCAATTCTCTCTTCCTTGAGATAATTGACAGAAAGTGATAATTCATTGGACAGAAGATAGCTAATTTTGCCAGTATATGATATTTTGAGAAACAAAGGCAAGCCCGGGTGATCAAATTGTGTTAAGAAGGTAAAAGTTAGCTAATAGTGAGGGGAGAGAGGAGAAGAGTGTCAACTCAAACAAAAACTCGTGCCATTGTTAATTACAGGAACAGCAGAAATTTGGCAATCAGAAGTCCTAGCTGACATTTTAAAGAACATCGTGGTGCCACAAGGATGTGAATAATGAGGGGAAATTGATGAGTAGGAAACAGTAGGAGGGACTAAGCTATTAATTCAAAGAGTTGACCTTTAAGTAGACACTTGGGATTATGTACCTGAAATAGTACTGAAAGCGCAAATACTTGGTGCTGCATGTGTTTTCTTCCCCTTCCTTTAAAGGTCCTTCTTGATGATAGCACCATCAATGTTGCAACCCTTGCCTCATCACGTTACGTTGGTCCACTGAAAACTCGAGTGGATGAATGGCAAAAACAACTTGCTTTATTTAATCAGACACTGGTGAGTAAGAATAATTTCGATTCATACACTCAGAGAATTGGAGAGTCACAAGGACCTTAGGAATTATTTGTTTCATTATTTAAATACTATATGGTTTTAAAATGTAAGTTTTAATTGTGGACATGTTATTGTGTTTAGAATGTAAGGGAAATGCACAGGTATTGAGCTCTTCTTTACATAATTATACAGCTTAATGATTTTACCATCGCCCTTGCATAGGTATACTTCAATGATATTGTAGATTTGGTTCCAAACCACCATGATAACCCAAACGTTGCAATAAAGAAATTTTGCCACATGAATCTTTTTGTTTCAAAGAACATATAAAAGTTATGTTGAATTGGGAATACATGGACACAAAGATAGAAACAATAGCCACTGGAGACTACTAAAGAGGGGAGAGAGGAAGGGTGCAAGGGTGGAAAAACTACCTGTTGGATACTATGCTCACTCTCTGAATGACAAGATCATTCATACCTCAAACCTCGGCATTACACAGCATACCCATTTAACAAACCAGCACATGTAACTTCTGAATCTAAAATATAAGTTGAAATTATTTTTTAAAAAGTTATGTTTATACTGTACTGTAGTCCATTAAGTGTGCAATACTATATTGCTAAAAAATGCTAATGATTATCTAAGCCTTCGGTGACTCATCATCTTTTGGCTGGTGGAAGATCTTGCCTCAGTGTTGATGGGTGGCTGCTGAAGGTTGGGGGTGCTGTGGCAATTTCCTAAAATAAGACAACAATGAAGTTTGCCACATTCATCGACTCTTCCTTCTATTAAAAAAAAAATCTTTGTAGCATGTAATATTTTATAGCATTTTACCCATCACAGAACTTCTTTCAAAATTGGAGTCAATGTTCTCAAGCCCTACTTCTGCTTTATCAGCTATGTTTATGTAATATCCTAAATCCTTTGTTGTCATTTCAACAATGTTTATAGCATTTTCCCCAGGAGTAGATTCCATCTCAAGAAACCACTTTCTTTGCTATCCATAGGAAGCGAGTCCTCATCTGTTCAAGTTTTATCATGAGATTGCAGCAATTCAGTTACATCTTCAGGCTCCACTTCTAATTCTAGTTCTCCTGCTATTTCCACCACATCTGCTGTTGTTTCCTCCACTGAAGTCTTGAATCCCTCAAAGTCACCTATGAGGGTTGGGATCAACTTCTTCCAAACTCCTATTAGTGTTGATATTTTGACCTCCTCCCATGAATGACAAATATTTTCAATGGCATCTAGAATGATGACTCCTTTCCAGAGGGTTTTTTAATTCACTTTTCCCAGATCCATCAGAGGAATTACTATCTGTGGCAGATACAGCCTTACAAAATGTATTTCTTAAATAATAAGATTTTCAAGTTGAAAGTACTCCTTAATCCATGGGCTGCAGAATGGATGTTGTGTTAGCAGGCGTGAAAACAATGTAAATCTCCTTGTACATCTCCATAAGAGCTCTTGGGTTACCAGGTCCATTGTCAATGAACAGTAATATTTTGAAAGAAGCCTTTTCTTCTGAGCAGTAGGTCTCTACAGTAGGCTTAAAATATTCAGTAAATCATGCTGTAAACAGATGTGCTGTCACACAGGCTTTGTTGCTTCATTTTTAGAGCACAGGCAGAGTAGATTTGGCATAATTGTTAAGGGCCTTGAGATTTTTTGAATGGTAAATGAGCACATTGGTTTTAACTCAAAGTCACCAGCTGCATTTATCCCTAACATGAGTCAGCCTGTCCTTTGAATCTTTGAAGCCAGGCATTGACTTATCTTCATTAGCTATAAAAGTCCTACATGGCATCTTCTTCTAATAGAAGGCTATTTTGTCTTCATTGAAAACCTGTTGTTGAGAGTAGCCACCTTCATCAATGATCTTAGCTAAATCCTCTGGATAACTTGCTGCAGCTTCATCAGCACTTGCTGCTTCACCTTGCACTTTTATGTTACAGCAATAGCTTCTTTCAATCTCATGAATCAACGTCTGCTACCTTCAAACTTTACTTCCACAGCTTCCTCACCTCTCTTAGCCTTTTTAAAATTGAAAAGAGTTAGAGTCTTGCCTCAGACTAGGCTTTACCTTAAGGGAATGTTATGGTTGGTTTGATCTTCTATTCAAACCACTCAAACTTTCTCCAAATCAGAAATAGGGTTTTGGCTTTTTATCATTTGTGTCTTCACTGAAGTTGCATTTTCAATTTCCTTCAAGAACTTTTCCTTTGCATTCACAACTGTCTTAATTGTTTCATGCAAGAGGCTAAGCTTTTGACCTGTCTTGGCTTTTGACATGCCTTCTTAACTAAGTTTAATCATTTCTAACTTTTGATTTAAATTGAGAGACATGTGACTGTTCCTTTCACTTGGACACTTAAAGGCCATTGTAGGGTTATTAATTGGCCTAATTTCAATATTATTGTGTCTCAGGGAATGACAGGGGACAATGAGGAGAAGAAATGAGATAGGGGAACAGGAGAACAGCCAGTCAGTGGAGCAGACAGAACATAGATAATACTTATCAATTAAGTTTGCCATCTTATATAAGCATGGTTCATGGCACCCCAAAACAATTATAATCATAACATCAAAGATCACTGATCACAGATCACCACAACAGATATAATAATAATAATGTTTAATAATAGTATTTTTAATATTGCAAGAATTACCAAAATGTGACCCAGAGACAGAGTAAGCACATGTTGTTGGAAAAATGGCATGAATTAACTTTTTGATGCAGGGTTGCCACAAAACTTCAATTTATAAAAACTGCAGTATCTGCAAAGTGCAGTAAAGTGAAGCACAATAAAACAAAGCATGCCTGTTTATCATTTTGCTGTGAAACAAACACTACAAACTTAAGCAATACCTTTGTTATCTCACAGTTTCTGTGGCTCAGGAGTTCAGGCATGGTTTAACTGAGGCCTCTTGCTCAGGGTCTAACAAGGTTGCAATTAAGATGTCAGCCAGACTGGGTTCTCATCAGAAGTTTAACTGAGGAATGATCCACTTCCAAGCTCACTCAGTTGTTGGCAAAATTAATTTTCTGGGAATTCTTGGGCTAAGGGCTTCAATCTCTTGCTGGCTCTCAGCTGGAGGCCATCCTCAGCTCCTAGATGTTGCCCACATTTTTTTCTTTATGTGACCATGACCATTGGCTGCATCAATCTAGCAAGGAAGAAAAAGATCCTAGCAAGATGACTATTACAGTCTTATATAACATAAACACAATTATGTACATTCTGTTACCTTTGCCACATCCCATATGCCTGGGAACAAGTCACAGATGGCACCCACACTCAAGGGGAGAGGATTACACAGGAATGTGAATGCCACATCTTGGGGGCCACCTTATGAGTCTTGCTACAACGACTTTATATTTACTGGAAGAATGCTCATTGTTGCTTGAAGTCTCCTTGGAATCTCTCCTTGTGGTGCACATGCCCTTTTGATTTTTTTCCACCTTTGATTGTCCCATAGCAAACAAAAAACCCACTTACACTAATCTCACTTTGTTCCCATCCAATCTCTTTCTTAGACTTCAGATATTTAGCTTGACTTAATTATGTTTAGGTTTCTAGACATTCTAATATGAGAAGTTATCTATGAAATAATAAAGGCAGTAAGAGGGAAAAGATAACTTGCACCAACTTTGTTTCAAAGAGAACTTTCTCAGAAATTCATCTTCTTCAACCAACCACATTGTCTGAGTCCTGTCCAGCCTCCTGGACTGATGGCTGAGCCCTGTGAAGGGAGGGACTACAGATCAAAGTCAAAGGGGACATTTTCATAGAGGGTCCCTGAAAGAAACCTAAGCTGAATAGTGAAGACCCCCCAGAGAATGAATTGCTTGGAAAGTGTGAGACCTAAGACAAACCAGGAAGTGGTTGTGACATTTGGGCTTACTCCCAAACCTAGAGTGAGAAGTGAGGAACTCTTTCATGGATTTTGGGCGCACACATGCAGTAATAGCAGGAGGCTCAGAGGAAAGGTGAGATCTATGGACATTTAATTTCTGACCCTGTATTTCTGATTTCTTTTATTAACAGTGATTTGTCTAAAAGCAGAGGGAATGCATGATTTTCGTCTTCCAGTCTTCTATATTTACCACATATGCTATCATGAGCAGGGGTTTTTTTTAATTTTCATTATTTAAAGAAAGGTGAAGGAAGAATTAACACATGATTGAGATAAAAGAATAAAACAAACTTTTTTTCATGAAAATCTTGTTTATGTTTGAAAATGGTCATCAGACTTTCCTTTTCCTTTCACATCTCCTTGCGTAAGCATCATGCTGCCCCCTGAATCTCTCCTGTTGGTAATTTTAATCATGTTTCTCTGGATCCATTCTGGTAACCACATGGAAGACCCATTAGAACTCTGCTCAGTAGACAGTGGGATGAAATCAGACTAAGGTGAATCTTGGACCTTGTAAGGAATTTAATTTCAAACGACCTGTGAGGAGTCATAACACGACCCTCAAGGAAAAAGATACAGTGATTCCCTGTGTCATGATTTTTACTGTAACCATATGTTTTTAATTGGGGAATTAAAATTTGACAATGTCCATATTTTTCTCCTAGGAAGAGTGGCTGACCTGCCAAAGAAACTGGCTCTACCTAGAAAGTATTTTCAGTGCTCCAGATATTCAGAGGCAATTGCCTGCAGAGTCCAAGATGTTCCTTCAGGTGGACAAGTCATGGAAAGAAATCATGAGAAAGGTGAATCGGCTGCCTAATGCTCTTCGAGCCGCTACTCAGCCAGGTATGAAACAAAATTCCAAACAAGCAAAAAGACTACAATCACCTAAAATGTTTCTCTGGGAACCTAATAACATATGGTCCATTCAACCCTTGATTCTAGTCAGTATGGACAAATAGGAATCCTTGCATCTGACACACTTGCTAAGCAATGTCAGTGGAACACTGGACTTTTTATTATTATTTCTTAGCTTTGTTTATAGTTTTGGAAAAGGAGAATCTGTCTATTTTTGCTGTTTTTATGATTTGGGGATGTTGCTTCAGTGTATCAGTGATGTTTTCATCTCAGAATTTTGACAATGAGACAAATATTTGCCTTCGGTTGACGTATTCTGTTAAAGCTCCTCCACAGATTTATAGCCACAAAAATGTCCACACCTTATTTTTAATGAATTCATCAAAACTAGTTCAAAATATTACCACTTATTGCATTTCTAGTCTCAAGGTTGAAATGTGTTTTAATAAGTTCCATTTCTGTGGATGTGGAATCAAAGTCTTTCAGGGTGCACATACGTGGCTGTTGAACTTTATGCTTAAAGTAAAAGCCTTGGCAAGCTTGCCTGTTGTTCGGGAAATAGCAGCACATGGCCCATCCTGGTAAATATCCTCAGACAGCTTCCCTGCAGTTTTCTGGGCTGCACCCTTTCCCCCAAAACTCTGACATAAGACAGAAATGGAAAAGAAATGTTATGTGGAATAATAGAATTGAAAACTCTTTGGATCTTTTCAAGGCGACCAGCATGCCTTGGCTCATGGTCTTCTTCCAGCGTGTAATCTCAGCACCCTGGCCTCTGTTTATGTCATTATATCTCCTTATCAGCCTCTGACCTTCCTGCCTTCTGCTTGTAATGGCCCATGTATGATCAATCAGTCCACCAGATGATCCAGGACAGTCTCTCCATCCATGATCCTTAACTTAATCACATCAGCAAAGTTCTTTTCCATGTATACTAACATATTCACAGGTTTGGGGGATTAGGACATGAACATCTCAAGGGGGCCATTATTCTGTCTACTGCACTCACTTGTCATGTTGAAACATTTTGCTGTGAAAACTAATATGTTAGATTACAGAGTGCTGTCCCAGGCCCTACTAGACTTGTTATAAAATATAACTTCTGAAATGAAAAACAATCTGATTCAAAAATACATCTGCTCCTAAGGATGTAATATAAGAATACAGACGGCCGGGCGCGGTGGCTCACGCCTGTAATCCCAGCACTTTGGGAGGCCGAGGCGGGCGGATCACAAGGTCAGGAGATCGAGACCATGGTGAAACCCCGTCTCTACTAAAAATAGAAAAAATTAGCCGGGCGCAGTGGCGGGCGCCTGTAGTCCCAGCTACTCGGGAGGCTGAGGCTGGAGAATGGCGTGAACCCGGGAGGCGGAGCTTGCAGTGAGCCGAGATTGCGCCACTGTACTCCAGCCTGGGCGACAGAGCGAGACTCCGTCTCCAAAAAAAAAAAAAAAAAAAAAAAAGAATACAGACTGGTATAGATCATTTCAGGGAATGATAAAGCTATGAAGAAAAATAAAGTAGGGTAAATGGGTGTGAGAGAGAGAGAGAGAAAGAGTGTGTGTGTGTGTGTGTGTGTGTGTGACAGAAGGCTTTTTTGATAAAGTGACTTTTGAGCAGAAACCTGCAGGAATGAGGGAGTGAGTCATGTATGTGATCAAAGGGAACATTGTTAAAGGAGGAGGGAAGATTAAAGGCAAGGCTCCCAAAGTGAGTGCATGCTTCACATGCCCAATTGTTTGCAAGGAAGCCAATGCGAACTGAAGTGGAATGCAGAGGAAGGGCTTAGGAGGTGAAGCAAGAGAGGCAAGAGTGTTTAGGTGGGGGACTGGGCATCAGACTGGGTCATTGATTACATAGAGCCTTGGAAACCATGATCAAGACTGTGGATTTGATTCTTAGGCAGGGGGGGACACCAGCTACTATGATAAACACCAAAACTACAAAGATAAACAAGACAGGGATCTTATTCCTTAAGGAGCTGTAGTTTAGTGATAAAGAAATAGTATCCTATCACCACAATTTTGGCATTTAAAGATGGCAGAGGATACAGAAAAGATGCCAGTAAGAAAGTGACAGACAGTGAGTAGGTATAGAGACTGGCTTGGTTTGGAGAGTCAAGGAGAAGGCAACTGCTTGGCTTTGGTTTTGTTCTCCTAGCCCCCCAAAAGTGGGATACACCAGCTAAAAATGTTTCATATTAAATATACTTGTTCATACTTGGTGAATACTTGATATTATTATTAAAGGTAATAGTTAAAGTTCTTAGTCAATTCCCCCCCATTTTAAAGTAATAGAACTTTCCTTTATCAAATAATACCAAAGCTTTTAAAATCTTAACAGTATATTTTACTTTTACTTAAAATTATCTCTTTATTTTTCAGTTAACTTGGTACCTTTTATTGAAAAGACCATACCACTGCCATTGCATTTTATTTATTTATTTATTTATTTTTATTTCAATAGGTTTTGGGGAAACGGGTGGCATATGGTTCTATGAATAAGTTCTTTAGTGGTGATTTCTGAGATTTTGGTGCACCCACCACCCGAGCAGTGTACAGTGTACCCAGTGTGTAGTCTTTTATCCTTTTATCCCTCAGCTCCCTCCCATCCTTTCCCCCACTTGCCTAAGTCCATTGTATCATTCTTACACTTTTGTGTCCTCATAGCTTAACTCCCACTTATAAGTGAGAACATATGATGCTTGGTTTTCCATTCCATTCACTTGGAATAATGGCCTCCAAATCAGTCCAGGTTGCTGCAAATGCCATTATCTCATTCCTTTTTATGGCTGAGGTAGTATGCCGTGGTATATCTAGACACATTTTCTTTATCCACTCATTGATTGATGGGCATTGGGGCTGGTTCCATATTTTTGCAATTGTAAATTGTGCTGTTATAAATATGTGTGCACAAGAATCTTTTTTATATAATGACTTCTTTTCTTCTGGGTAGATACCCAGTAATGGGATTGCTGGATCAAATGGTAGATCTACTTTTTAGTTATTTAAGGATTCACCACACTGTTTTCCATAGTGGTTGTCTTAGTTTACGTTCCCACCAGCAGTGTAAAAGTATTCCCTTTCCACCACATCTACACCATCATCTATTATTTTTTTATTATAGCCATTCTTGAAGGAGGAGGGTGGTATCACATTGTGGTTTTGATTTGCATTTCCCTGATCATTAGTGATGTTGAGCAGTTTTCATGTTTGCAGGCCATTTGTATACTTTCTTTTGAGAATTGTCTATTCACGTCCTTAGCTCACTTTTTGAAGAGATTGTTTGTTTTTTTCTTGCTGATTTGTTTGAGTTCCTTGCAGGCTCTGGATATTAGTCCTTTGCCAGAGGTCCAGATTGTGAAGATTTTTTCCCACTCTGTGAGTTGTCTGTTTACTCTGCTTATTGTTTCTTTTGCTCTGCAGAAGCTTTTTAGTTTAAGTCCCATCTATTTATCTCTGTTTTTGTTGCATTTGCTTTTGGGTTTTGGTCATGAAGTTTTTGCCTAAGCCAATGTCAAGAGGGGTTTTTCCAATATTATCTTCCAGAATTGTTATGGTTTCAGTCTTTGATATGTTAGATTTAAGTCTTTGATCCATCTTGATTTGATTTTTAGGTGAGAGATGAAGATCCAGTTTCATTCTTCTACATGTGGCTTGCCAGTTATCCCAGCACCATTTGTTGAATAGGGTGTCCTTTCCCCACTTTATGTTTTTGTTTTCTTTGTCAAAGATCCGTTGGCTATAAGTATTTTGCTTTATTTCCAGATTCCCTATTCTGTTCCATTGGCCTATGTGCCTATTTTTATACCAGTACCATACTGTTTTGGTGACTATGGCCTTGTAGTATAGTTTAAAGTCAGGTAATGTGATGCCTCAAGATTTGTTCTTTTTGCTTAATCATGCTTTGGCTATGTGGGCTCTTTTTTTGGTTCCATGTGAAATTTAGAATTTTTTTTTCTAACTCTGTGAAGAATTGTGGTGTTGTTTTTATGACGATTGCATTGAGTTTATAGATTGCTTATGGCAGTATGGTCATTTTCACAATATTGATTCTACCCATTCGTGAGCATAGGATGTGTTTTCATTTGTCTGTGTTGTATGATTTATTTCAGCAGTGTTTTGTAGTTTTCTTTGTAGAGGTCTTTCACCTCCTTGGTTAGGTATATTTCTAAGTAATTTTTTTTTTTTTTTTTGCAGCTTCTTTTCTTGCATCTATTGTAAAAGGGGTTGAGTTCTTGATTTGATTTTCAACTTCGTCACTGTTAGTGTATAGCAGAGCTACTGATTTGTGTACATTAATTTTGTATCCTGAAATTTTGCTGAATTCATTGATCAGCTCTAGGAGCTTTTTGAATGAATCTTTAGGGTTATTTAATTTCCATGTATTTGTATGGTTTTGAGGATTCCTTTTGGAGTTGATTTCCAATTTTATTCCATTGTGGTCTGAGAGAGTACTTGATATAATTTTGATTTTCTTAAATTTATTAGGACTTGTTTTGTGGCTTATCATATGGCCTATTTTGGAGAATATTCTGTACTGATGAATAGAATGTATATTCTGCATTTGTTGGGTAGAATGTTCTGTAAATATCTGTTGAGTCCATTTGTTCTGGGGTATAGTTTAAGTTGTTTCTTTGTTGACTTTCAGGCTTGATGACCTGTCTAGTGCTGTCAGTGGAGTATTGAAGTCCCCCACTATTATTAGGTTGCTGTCTATCTCATTTCTAAGGTCTGGTATTAATTGTTTTATAAATTTATAAATTCGAGAACTCCAGTTTTAGGTGCATATATATTTAGAACTGTGATATTTTCTTGTTGGAAAAGTCCTTTTATCTTTATATAATGTCCTTCTTTGTCTTTTTTAACTGTTGTTGTTTTAAAATTTGTTTTGTCTTAAATAAGAATAGCTATTCCTGCCCACTTTTGATGTCCATTTGCATGAAATATCTTTTTCCACCCCTTTACCTTAACTTTATGTGAGTCCTTATGTGTTAGGTGAGTCTCTTGAAGACAGCAGTTACTGTCTAGACATCCAGATTGGTAAATGGGGAGTCAAACTGTCATCGTTTGCTGATGATGTGATTGTAATTTTTTTACTGCCTTTGCAATTCCGTGACTCGTTTTAACTTTAGATTTGGATAACTCAAAACATATTTTTATGAGAGCTTTATTAAATAGTCTTCTAGGGAGAAGATTCATAAATTGATTACATTTTAAAGTGATTTTTTTTCAGAAAACAATTTGATTTTAACAGTTTTACCAATACTGTTTTTGTTTTTTTTAATGAACAGGACTTCTGGAAACTTTTCAAAACAATAATGCATTACTTGACCAAATTCAGAAGTGCCTAGAGGCATACTTAGAATCAAAAAGAGTTATCTTTCCAAGGTAAGTTTATAAAGCAACCTAAGATATTTTTTAGTAGTTATGACTGTCAATCAAGTTGAGGTTATAGTTATAACCTCAAAGCATCAAGGAACTAGAGAAAGAAACAAAAAAGATCTATGATAATGAAAATCCAACTAGTTATCATAATTGGGGAGTATAAGTCTCAAGGATAAAATACAATATTCAATAAATAGTTAAGTGGGTAAGTAAGATACTGAAACAATTTTTTTTAATTTTAACTTTTTTAGTATATCATAGGTGTGTTATGGGGTACATAACATGTTTTGACATAGGCGTGTAATGCATAATAATCACATCATGTAAAATGAGGTATCCATCCCCTCAAGCATTTATCCTTTGTGTTACAAACAATTGAGTTATACTCTTTCAGTTATTTTTAAATGTACAATTAAATTATTATTGACTATTAAATTATTATTGATTATTAAATTAAATTATTATTGACTATAGTCAATCTGTTGTACTATCAAATACTAAGTCTTATTCATGCTTCCTATTTTTTGTACCCATTAAATATCCCCACCTCCCCATCCCCAACCCTTCCACTACCCTTCCCAGCCTCTGGTAACCATCCTTCTACTCTCTGTCTCCATAAGTTCAATTGTTTCGATTTTTAGATCCCACAAGTTGAAATGATTCTTGATCACCCCATTGTTTTACTGTTTAATTGTAGAATGAATATGTGTGCCTGTGCATGTGTGTATATGTGCACAATGTGTGTGTAAAAGGTTAAGAGAGACTGGTGTTACCTGAGCAGTTTTCTTTAGGTTAATTGGTGGGGATGCATGTTAAGCTCTCCAAGATGCCTAGTCTTGAGGAGAGTGAACCACACCCTTTCTCATGGGCATAGCAAGCACCCTTAGCACATCTCTCTACCAAAAAATATTCTTATCTCTAGCTGTCCAACCTCTCCAGCTTTAACACTTTTATACCCTCAAGTGACTGAGGACTCTAGAGTCTTCACCCATCTCCCCATAAGTCAGCCCCAGGTGACCTGACATCTCATTTTGAAATGTGACAACTCTAGTCCTAGAACTTCAGTCAAAACTGAAACTGATATTTTAACATCTAGTTATATTACTTGGGAAAGGTTTGGTCAAAAACACAGAAGCCACTCTAGGTGTTTAGAGCAAAAGTTTCAGTCAGGGAATTAGAAGTTTTCACTGGTGCTAGACGCAGAAGAAGGGAAGAACTGAGGACCACTTTGAGGAAATCTGGAAATACAGGCAGAGGTCTCAGGGAGGTGCCACCAAAGTCTCAGCTTCCTGCAACAAGAAAGGGAGGGATTGTCAGGAGGACACCTGAAAACCAAGGATAAAATCCCACCAGCTTCAGTCATTCATGCTCAAGTTGGGGAATAATGGCTTTGCTTCCTCCCACCTTCTCAGTCACATAGAAGAGCATCTCATAGGCAGTATTTAATCTGAAACCTTACTGGAAAGAGATTCTAGAAATGTCATTCCAGCTTTTCCCTGATGCAGGGATATTGCTAAGTTGACCATCAACAATCTAGAGCATTTACTAAATGCTGGTTTGTACATTTAGTCCTCCAAAACATGAGAGAGTTGGGGATAGGAACAGCAGTAAAAAGGACCCTTGATTGGGAAAAAAAAAAAAAAAGTTTGAAAATCACTGTCTTAAATGTTAATAGTTAATTGCTCTAATCTGTTCTAGTATGAACTAGGATAGTCAGTTGGAATAGTAAATAAAATTCCTTTTGAGTGATTTGGAGAGATTAAACATAATACAAGAACTCTATTACATGAAGTCTGGCATTTAGAATATTGTTGATTATCTAGAGCAGGGACAAACAACTTTTTTTCATAAAAAGTCACATAATAGATATTCAAGGCTTTGTAGGCTTTACAGTCTCTGTAGTCAGGTCCGCTATTGTAGCACAAAAGGAGCCACAGACAGTATGTCTGCATGGCTGTGTGACAATGAAACGTTATTTACAAATACAGGGGGTGGGCCAGATTTGGCCTGGGGCTGTAACTTGCCAACCCCAATCTATAGCAAAATAATATTCTGTAAGTTTACAATTTCCTTTACCTATCTTGCTGGTAATAATATGGAATATATATAAATGTTTTATTTCTACATATGTATAGCCTCACATGGTTGGAAATGGTGTGCTGGCAAAATTATATTATGCCAATTTTCACAGTAGCACATACTGCAGAGAATAGCAAATGCCTTTGGGTTAAGGGAATGGCCCAGTACACATTCACACAACCCAATAAGGTTCTCCTGCAACCACCCATCCATCTATTAACTCTTCAACAAATAATGTATTGAATACCAGGTATGTGTGACATACTAGGCTAGATTTTAGGGAAAAGAAATAATACATCTTCACTCTGGAGACTTTAAGACAGATATGTGAACACATCAGTTTCTAGCATTTTTACAGTTTTTATGAACAATGTCTATCTTTTATGTACTAGACAGTAATTCTAGGTGTGCATCATCACACCATCACACCTAAATGCATCATCACTAATTTTCACAGAAATCATGTTTAGAGATACGTGGCCTCCCCAGAAACCCATGACCAGTGTAATTGGAGGTCCAGGAAATTGGTGGACAGGGAGGAGATGTGGCTAAGGAATTTATCTTGTATGTCTATCTAAGACTATACTTCAATTTCAAGTTATATTTTAAGGATGTTCTTTAATCCAGATTTTACTTCTTGTCAAATGATGAACTTCTGGAGATTTTGGCCCAGACACGAAATCCACAGGCTGTGCAGCCACACTTAAGGAAATGCTTCGACTCCATTTCAAAGCTCGAATTTGCTCTCATGCCTCCTGCTGAAGGAAAGATTCCTGGTATTGATGGAGAACCAGAAAAGGTTTATACTAATGATATTTTGGCAATGCTGTCACCAGAGGGAGAAAGGGTGAGGTGCTTTTGTTTATATTTCTTTATTGATGAACTTTGTTACTCTTCTAGGGTTATTCTCGCTCTAAGCATACAGGTACTCTGTTGTCTCAGCAATTTCAAGGATAACCAAGATAAAATTCTTGCCCTCAAAGAGCTCAAAGTCTAACAGAGAAGTAGTCGAACAAACAACTGAAAATCACCACAGAAAATGCAATAACAAAGGCATGTGTTCTGTTGTTGGAAATATAGTGGAGAAAACTAGAACCATGTCTTATTTAACTCCCCACAAGAGGCACACTAATGGACTGATTAAGAGTACTGGTTCTACTATCAGGCCACTTGGACTAAGTCCCACCCCTTAATCTCATCCAAAAGACAGGGATTAGTAATTGTATCTGATTAATGGAGTGATGAGCCTGTTCAGGAGATAGTGTATGTCAATTACTTAAAGCAATACCCAGTAAATACTATTTAAGTGTTAGTTGCTGGCAGCAGCATCTCCAGGGCACTGCACAGCCCCTGGCATATGGGGAACACCAAGAGAGTGAATATATTAGCACACTGTGAGGAATCAAGTGACTTCACAGAGGAGAGCTACATATATGCACACACACACCAAGTCAAGTATGATGGAAGGGGGAGTATCTTCTACGTGGGCATGGGAGACATTTCAGACACAGGAACTGTGCAGGGAAATGCTAAGGAATTGGGTCCAGTAAGAACACAGTGGTGTATCTATGGGAACATATAAACATTTTATTTGTTCTGAATTGATCCTCTTGCAAAAGAATTTGCTCATCACTGGTGCAGAAGAGAAGGGGAAAGACCGAGGATAGAATCTCAGGAAAACATGAAATGTAAAGAGAGGTTAGAAGAAGAGCAGATGAAGGAAACCAAAACAGCCATGACAGTCAAGCCATTGGAAGTCCAAAAAAATAGATACAAGAACTGAAAAGTGTCATTTGGACTTTTCAGTTGGGAGGACCTGGGAAAACTTGAGAATAGAAGTGATCAGGGACAAAAATCAGATAGCAGCAAGTAGGAAAGTGAAAATAAGTGAAGAATTCCATGCAGTGCATGTAGACTACTCTTTCAGGGAGTTGACTCCAAGTGGAAGCAGTAAAATAAAGCAATAGGTCAGGTGAAAGGAGATAGATGTATAGTGGAATGTCAATAGAAGTTTCAGTATTTGTGGTCAGGCTTCAGCGTTTATATAGCTTAGGATTCTGTCATGGAAATACAGAAGGCATACAGCTTACAAGTCCCACACAAGCCACTTTATCAATGCTCTGATTACCTTTTAGGTTAGCTTGGGGAAAGGCCTCAAGGCCCGAGGCAATGTAGAAGAATGGCTTGGTAAAGTGGAAGAAGCCATGTTCACGTCTCTGCGTCGCCTGTGCAAAGCTGCCATTGCTGACTATCAGGGGAAACTGAGGACAGACTGGGTGGTGGCTGGCCACCCTTCTCAAGTAACTCACACTCACATTTCGTATTTCTGAATTCTTTTTTGGTGATATGTATCACATATTTAAGAAAGATGTTTTCTTGCAGGTTATCCTGACCGTTTCTCAAATTATGTGGTGCCGTGATTTGACTGAATGTCTGGAAACAGAACACAGTAATCACATAGAGGCCCTGGAGAATTTTGAAAAAGTAAATTTTGAGGTGAGATCTGTAACAAAGTGACATTATTGTCTTGCAAGACGGTCTTAGTGGGTTTTTTTTTAAAGCATAGTTAATGCAAATTCACTTTATTTCAGAAATTCTAATGCTCTGACATGACTTACAAAGCTTTAGAATTCTCACTAAAATTATTTGTGTTTTACTTTTTTTAGAGACACTACCTTAATGTATGTGTAGTATTCATATGAATACTTGTGAAAATAGGAGGAAAAACAATTCCAGAACAAAACATCACGGTTATAATGGTTTGCAACTTTTAAGGATAAACTGTATTCACTAGTTCCTGGATACCTCTCAGGGAAGTTTATTCAGTCCAGGAAAACCTCCAGATTCATGCCATTTCTATTTTTAGGCTCTAATTCTATTTCTGCTATTTTGTAGAAATACATTGCCTGTCAGGCAACTAACAGAAATAGTTAGAAATAGAAATAGTTGCCTGTCAGGCAGCTAACAATAAAACAATAAATAATTCAAAGAATTTACCATCAAGAACTTTTAGCTATAGCTAGGAAATGCTATTTTACTAAATAGCATTTAAATAGCACTAAAACTTTATACTTGTTGAACAGCAACTCCACATTTCCTCCTCTCCCTAGCTCCCTGTAATCACCATATTACTCTTTTTCTATGAATTTAACTATTTTAGATACTTCATATAAATAGATCATGCAGGACTTATCCTTCTATGACTGACTCGTTTCATTTAGCTTGATATCCTCCAGGTTTATTCATGCTGTCACATGTCATGGGATTTCCTTTGTTTTAAGTCTGAATAATAGATATTTCATTGTATGTGTATGCCACATTTTATTTTATTTTTTTCTTTTTTAAGAGACAGGATCTCACTCCATTGCCCAAGCTGGAGTGCAGGGACGTGATCATAGCACCCAGCTAATTATTTTTTTTATTATTATTTTTTGTAGAGACAGGGTCGCACTGTATTGCTCAGGCTGGTCTCAAAAGCTTCCCTTAAGCGATCCTCCTGCCTTGGTCTCCCAAAGTGCTGGATTACAGGCATGATAATCATGCCCAGCTCATATTATCTTTTTGTGTTCATCCTTTGATGGACACTTATGTTATTTCCACATTTTGGCTATTGTGAATAATGCTGCAATGGACATAGGAGTGCAGATAGTCTCCTCCAGATCCTGACTTCACTTCTTTTGGATGTGTACCAGAGTGGGATTACTGGATCATATGGTAGTTCCATTTTTAATTTTTTGAGGAACCAGCATATTGTTTTCCATAATGGCTGCACCATGTTTATATTCCCTCTGGCAGCATACCAGGGTTCTCTTTTCTCCACGCTCTTGCCAACATGGGATATCTTTTTTTTTTTTGATAACAGTCACCCTAATAGTTGTGAGGTGACATCTCATTATGGTTTTGATTTGCATTTCCCTTATGATTAGTGATGTTGATCATCTTTTCATATACCCAGTTAGCCCTTTGCATGTCTTTTTCTGATAAATATCTATTCTATTCCCTTGCTGATTTTTTAATTGGGTTATTTGTTTTTTGCTTATTAAGTTGCAGGAGCAATTAGACCCTTGTCTTATACCATACACAAAAATCAACTCAAAATAGATTAAAGATTTAAGTGTAAGACCTGAAACTGTAAAATCCCTAGAAGAAGACATAGGGGAAAAGCTTTGACATTGGCGTTGGCATTGATTTCTTGGATATAACACCAAAAGCACAAGCAACAAAAGGCAAATAGATCCATGGGATTGCATCAAACTTAAAAGCTTTTGCACAACAAAGGAAACAATCAACAGAGTGAAAAGGCAACCTGGGGAATAAAGGAAAATATTTACAAACAGTATATCTTGTAAGGACCTAAGCCAACTCTTTAACTCCAAATTCAATTCTACTTCCAAGTAATACTACATTTTTAAAGATTCACCCTTAAAACAGAAAAATGAAACAACCTTATGAATAAAATAACTTTATTGAAATAAACAACTTTATATATTTATATGTAAATATTCAATAAATATTTATTTATTGAATAAAACAACTTTATTGCAGTAAGAGAAAACACTCTCATGAAATTCTTCAAAGAAATTTCATCTCCATAGCTTCAGAAAAGAGAAATGATTCCCTAAAGAAAGTTCCTTTGCCTCTACGTAGAGATGGTCCCTCATCAGGGTTGGCCCAAGTGACATTTCAGCACAATGATACAAGGTCCTTAAAGGCGCTGCTCTTCTTTGAAAAAGATTTAATTATTTAGGTAAAAATCAAGTAAAAATTTAGCTAACTCTTTCTGAAAATTTTTTCATTTAACTAGACATTGACTAGGTTAAAATGCTCAGACTTTCTGATTATTAATGGGAAAACCACCCCTAAAACTGAAGAGTATCACCTTTAACCACATTTAATTTTTTGGGAGGACACTCTCCTCTAGAAAATCATCACATAGTGGTTAAGAACATGGGCTTTTCTGGAGGCAAATGTCTACTCAGGTCTCATTTTGCTACTTCGTAACTGTGTGACTGCCATCAAGTTACTTATGCTCTCTGACCTTCAGTTTCCTCAAATGTACAATAGGGGTAAAGACAGTATATAGTTCACAGAAGTCTCATGGGAATTAAATAAAAGTACTGTCCTGTGTGGTCACAAAATTATAGATTCTTAAAATTAGCTGGTTTTTAGCAATGTCTCTCCAAATTGAATGGTGAAAGAGATAATATATATATGTAAGCTGATCTTGGAAAATTCACCATGACAATTTTTTTTATTTGTAGAGATTAAATGCCCTGGCTGCAATAGTTCGAGGCAGTCTTCCTAAATTACACAGAAATATCCTAACTGCATTGATTACCATTGATGTGCATGCAAGAGATATAGTCACTGAACTTGTTCAATCCAAGGTAACGGCTTCATTTAACTAAAATTATATACTGCTTTCTGAAATGAGTGTATCTAATATGTATATCACATATAGGTGGAGACAGTTGAGTCTTTTGACTGGCAGAGACAACTGCGCTATTACTGGGATATAGACCTGGATAATTGTGTGGCTAGAATGGCGCTCTCTCAGTACACTTACGGCTATGAATATTTGGGTGCATGCCCAAGATTGGTTATTACTCCACTCACAGTAAGTTATTGATCACTTAGGTTAATATTGACATGAGAGTGCTTTTCAATCAAAAGTCTTGAAAAGTTTCATATGACATTAATTCTTGAAAGAATTTATTATGAACACATCTTTGTAAAGCAAAGATTTGCATTATTTAATTATGTACATGGATCTTTTGGTGTATTTCAGTTGCTCTATTTTTCATAGAAAATAATAATCCTTCCCCCATAGAAAGGAAATGACTTAATTTGTGGCCAGAGTTGGTTCCCTTCATATTGATAATTTATTACTTTCTTCAGGATCGCTGCTATCTTTGCCTCATGGGAGCTTTGCAGCTTGACCTTGGGGGTGCACCAGCTGGTCCTGCTGGCACTGGGAAAACAGAGACTACCAAAGATCTGGCAAAAGCTCTTGCCATCCAGTGTGTGGTCTTTAACTGTTCGGATGGTTTGGACTACAAGGTACAGTTCTTGCATCTGAACATTAACATTTAAGTGTTTTATATGTCTTTCTCTATTTGCAACATGACATAACAAAATAAAGTGAGAATGGAGTGATGACAAGCAAGAGAAAAGAAATGGGGCAAATAATGGCTAAAGTGGAATAAATAGAGCAAGGGAGAAGAGTCAACACATGGTAGTCTGGGTAGTCTGGATAAGAATCAAGGCTGGGGATGATTATCAATCAATTGATAAATCAATTTTTTATTTATGAAAAAATAAAAAGTCTGTACATGTCAGTAAGAAGAAAGAAATGAGATGAGGTACAAGATAGAATAGCAGGGAAAATGAAGAACAAGGACTAAGCTTATAGTAGGAAATTGGCAATTCAGAGAATGGTGTATTGAACATGAAATATGTGGGAGGAGAATTCCTGGTAAGGTTTTTCAATACAGTGGTTCTCAAACTTTTTGGTCATGGGACCCCTTTACACTCTTAAAAATTAATGAGAAAACTTCCAAACAAAAAAAAATTGTCCCACTTTTATATTTTTGAAAATCTCTAATGTTTTCAAAATATTGCTATTATGCTAATATTTGGCATAATAGAAGACAGCCAGATTCTCCGATTTGCTTCTACATTCAGTCTGTTGAGATACGTTTTTTTGGTTGAACATTTGAAGAAAATCTAACCTCACATAGATATAGACTCTGAAAAGACGAATATTTTAAAGAACTTTTTCAGTTAATTGTTTATACTCTTCTTTGAACTACACCGAAACTTGACAAATGTTAGTTTCTTAAAGGTTATTTGCTATGTAAAAACTGAAATCATATCCACATCTTTTCATACTCTGTACTCTCATGAGAGAGTGAGAGTGAAAAAAGCATATAACACCTTGGTATTATTATGAAAACACTTTGGCCTCACAGATCCCCTAAAAAAAAGCTCATGGATTTGCAGGAATCCTTGTTTGGCTTTATTTCTTCTGGTGGTTGCTATTTAAACTGTAAAAGCATACATTTGTTTCTATATTTTTATGTACCCACTTTGGACACTATCTGCCAACACATTAAATAGATGAGGATTTTATTAGATACAACTTTGTGTGTCTAATGAAGTTGGACTTTCTGTTTCAACCTCACTTTTACCATGTCAAATTTTATAAAATTTGTATTTCATTCTATAACTAAATTATATCTTCATTGCTTTGTCTGGGGGCCAAATATAAAAATGTAAATCCCTTATACAGCACTTATAATATCAAAGACTGTTCATAGTGGAATTTAATAGAATAATTGGCCCCATAGAGAAAGATCAATACATACATCACAAACCCCTGCCATTCAAAGTAAACGTCCTAAGCTTCAGGGTTAGTGGATCGTGTTTTCTTTCCACTTTGTTCACTTCTTCTAGAACCAATATTTTTCTCATTTTTTATTTTTTACTTTTTATTTTTTATTTTGAGACGGAGTCTCGCTCTGTTGCCCAGGATGCAGTGGCACAATCTCGGCTCACTGCAACCTCCGATTCCCGGGTTCGAGCAGTTCCCTGCCTCAGCCTCCTGAGTAGCTGGGATTACAGGCGCCCACCACCACGCCCGACTAATTTTTGTATTTTTAGTAGAGATGAGGTTTCACCATCTTGGCCAGCTCCTGACCTCGTGATCTGCCCACATCAGCCTCCCAAGGTGCTGGAATTACAGGTGTGAGCCACTGCACCTGGCCAGAACCATTATTTTTCTAACTTCTGTGTGCTGTGAATCACCCGGAGATATTTATTAAACTACATATTCTGATCTGCAGGTCTGGGGTGGGGCCTGAAATTGTGCATTTCTGACATCCACCAAGGTTGTGCACATCGATACTGGTCCACTTTGAGAAGCTAAGCCCTAGACCGTGGTTCTGAGAGCATGAACCCTGAACCAACAGCATTAGCGTCACCTGACAACTTGTTGGAAATGCAAATTATAAAGCCCCACAGACCTACTTAATCAGAAGCTTTGGAGCTGGAGCGCAGCAACGAGAGGCGTTTTTGAAACAAACTTCCAGGTGATTCTGATGCACACTCAGATTTAAGAACCACTGTTCTAGAGTAGATTCAGCTGCCACTGTTCTTTGTAGTTCAGTTTTGCATCTTTCTTATATTTCATTTTAATTTTGCTGGAATACTTCCTTGAGCAATTTTTTTCCCATTCAAGTTTATAAATATTCTGTCTTTACTGAGTCATCATACTTGATTGATAATTTGTAGAGGGTGGAATTATAGGTTTAAAATGATTTTCTCACCTGACTTTGAAGGCCTCACTTCATTGTCTTCTAGTATGCATTTTGCTAATGATAAAACTGATCATGGCTTAATAAATTTTGGAGGTTTAGTAATATTTTGCTTCCTCTCTGTCTCTGGCAGCTTATAGGATTTTCTCTTGATCCTCAGTATTGTGAAAATCTACCAGGATGTGTCTACATAAGATAATTTTCTTTATTCATTTGGTTTGTCATTTTGGGAAGCTCTTTATTGGGAAAAATATGTCTTGTCAGCCTAGCGAGACCTTATTTTATTGCTTCTTTGCTTATCATTTTGTCTCTGTTCTCTGCTCTGGGCCTCCTACTTCTGTTCTCCACTTCTCTTAAATACTCTCATATTTTCTCTTGCTTGTTGCTATTTTCTTGTATTTGTTTAGATTGCTAAACACATAAACACACTTATTTTATATTTTAAGCAACAATAAGAAAAAATAAACTTATTGAAAGGTTACTTAGATAGTGGGATATCTCACGGAATCCAGAGAAGAGTTGAGCATGACTCAGGCTGAGTAGGAACGAGGGCAGCCAACTCCTTGGCATTGGGAACTTTAGAGCCTTTTCTCTAGAGCCTTGCAGAGAAAACAGCAGGGTCATATTTCAAATTTTTAAAGTAGGATTCTAACTGGCAAAGTGGGTTCAAGTGATCACCCCTAGATTCGTAAGCAATAGCCGGAAGAAGAGGGTATAGTCTGACTCATACAGGCATGGATGGCTGTAGAGAGCTAGATGTGGTACGCAGTTTCCAGAGAAAGAGGAATGGTATCCTCTAAGGGTTTCTGCAACATAAGATTTCTAAGCAAAACGAGATTGTCTCCAAAGGCTATTCTTTTCTGCCTTAAATGTCCCTTCATGTGTGGATGTTCCCCAGGGCTCTGACCAGTCCCCTTTTCCTGTTTTCTCTACCTGCTTTTTCCGGTTCCTGACAACTTTGTAAGAGAGAGCAGAGATTTGGGCAGAAGGAGGTTACCCTGCAGATCCCTGGTCAGATGTGCTGCCTTTCCTAAGACCTAGTTCCTGCTCCTCCAGGAACTCTCTTGCCCTAAAATTTTCCTCTGGATTTGGTCTCCTTTGAAACTCTTCCTTTCTACAAAAAGCAAACGAAACACTCAAGCACTGGGCTGAGACTTTGTGTTAGACTCAGGAGAAGGCATATTATCTGATTTACCTTCCCAACAGTCCTCTTTGATAGGTGTTGTCATCATTGCACAGATGGGAGTGAGATTTGGACAGTGAAGTAACTCGCCAGCAGTCACCACTAGAAAATGGCAGAGAAAGAATTTGAACACCTCTTGTGATTCAAGTCAAATGTTCTCTCCCTTTTTTTAAAAAAGTACATATTATATGCAAATTTAGAAACATAAAAAGATATAAAGAATAAAATAATGAATATCTACTTAGCCACCTCCCAGCTAAGAGATAAAATGTTACCAGCGCACTTGAAATCCTCTGTCTCTCATCGCCAGAGATAACTTCTATTCTGAATTTGGGGGTTATCATTCACATGTGTGCATATGTATGTGTGTAGTCCTAAATTTAAAACATAGCACCATTTTGTGTGCTACATTCTACATTTTGGTTTTTCCACTGAGCACTTTGTCTATGAGATTCATCCAGGCTAATACTATAGCTCTATTTTTTTAAATTCATTTTCACTGCTCTGTTTTTATGGTTTTTTTCTTCTGATATGTATTTGAGTTGTTTCTAATATAGTATTTGCTACTGTAAGCAATGCTGCAATAAGCATTATTACACAGGCCTCCGGGTGAATGGGTGCATGGTTTATCTGGCTTGGAATATAGGAGTTGGTCTCAAGGTACATATACGTATTGACTCAATAAGGACAAATGCTTCTTCCATGATTGTGGTAATTTATACTCCCTCTGCAAGTGTATAAGAGCTGCCTATGCTCCACATCCGTGCCCATGCTGTCAGGTTCCATAACTGCTGTCAGTCTGAGGAGTATGAAATGGTATGCCATCATTGCTAAAACCATTAAAGACTAATTGGAAATTTTATAATGGATGAATCGGGATAGTAATCCACTAATCAATCACAACTTTGACAATCAAAAAATACGTATCTCCTGTTATGATATATAAGCTATGAATTACTCCTGTTCAAAAAAATTTACCTTCAACCTAATGAATCTAATGGAGTCTCTAGATTTAAATACCAGTTTTCAAGAAGTACAGGTGTATGAGATAAAGGAATGTGTTAACACCACAAGAATACAATCAGCTAAATATGGAATCAGGGGAATTCTATAGGGAAAATAACTTACAGACCTTCAAAAATAAATTGCATAAAAGAGAGAGGATTCAGGGAACTGCTATAAATTTAAAGAAATTTAAGAGACACAGTACCCAAATGCAATGTTTGTACCTTGCTTGTATCTTTATCGGAACAAACCAATTGTAAAAGGACAATATCAGTACGACTGAGGAAAATTGAACAAGATATTAAATAATTATTGGGTTTTTCTTTGAGTAGATTAGCAGTATTGATATGGGTAATTTGGGGGGTTTTATGTGTTACAGAGTTTATTGTGAAATAATATGATGTCTAGGGTTTGCTTTAAAATAACAACAAAAAATGTTGGAGAGTATTTTGAAAATAGCAGAATGTTGGTAATTGTTAAGCTGGGTGACATATACCTTCTTTCACCTCTTGTGTATGTTTGAAATTTTTCAAAATAAAGATTTTTTTAATAGAAATCATCACAAAATAAAATGATAGAAATAACACCAAAACTTATTTCTAATCGTCAATTAATTGCTACACAATTCATCTCTGAAAAACAAAACAAAACAAAATAACCCCTGACTGCTATCAGCTGAGAGCCAACCTGACTCAGACTATTTGCTTCTCCGGTTGAACACAAACAATTTCACAGGCCACCAACTACAGACCAGGTCACGATGCATCCGTTATGGAATGAGATGCCACAATCGTGTCTGAGAACACACAAGAATGCTGTCTAAACCACAAAAAATAGTCTAATATCTCCCTCTCCAGGCTAAGCTGTGTAACTGCTTCACCTTTACCAATGACAGCCTCAGCCAGCTATCCATCAGCCTCCTGTATAATATGATTATGATATCCATCATAAATTTGCCCCTGCTTCCTATCAGCACCTAATCCACAATATTGTGGATTGAATTGTGTCCCCTCAAAATATGTTCAAATCCTCATGCCTAGTATCTGAATGTTACCTAATTTGAGTCTTTACATTTGTAAAGACTCAGATGTTTAAAATGAGGCCATACTGGAATTCTACGGGCCCTAATCAAATAACTAACTAGTGCCTTTGTAAGAAGAGAAAAATGTGGATATAGACAGAGAGAGAGAAGGCAGCCAAGTGAAGATACACAGGAGGTAGAGATCAGAGTGAAGCAGTACAAGAAGCCAAGGAATCCCAAGGGTTGCCGGCAACCACTAGAAGCTACCAAGAGGCAAGGAAGAATCCTACACCCCAGAACCTTCAGAATGAGCATGGCTTTTTGATACCTTTATTTCAGACTTCTAGCCTCTAGAACTGTGAGAGAATAAATTTCTGCTGCTTTAAGCCATTCAGTTTATGGCAATTTGTTATAGTAGCTCTTAAAAACTAATAGAGCAAAACCCTTCTTCACTGACCCTTCCCCAGAATTTTCTAACACAAGCCCAAATCCTGTGACAAGTCCTCCTGATATCCTTTTACTGAGAGAAACCTTGGTTTCCCACAGAGTGTGGTCTCCCTTGTTGCAACGAGTGGTAAACCCAGTTGTGTCTGACTACAGGTGTGTTCCTGGTTATCTTTGGCCTGTAGGCATTGACCCTGTCCTTCACTTTTGTTGAAAATGAAGAATTGGAGATCACCTGACTCGAAAAAGTATTTGTTAACCAGCCAGCTATTGCAAGCATTCCTGCATTCATGATCAATATTTGGAACTGCTCCTTTGTTTGGCACCCTGGACGTTTTTGCATCCTGGGGCAATGTACCATCGTAAGATCTGGTTTTGATAAGAGCAAGCCTGCTAGTATCATCTACTGAGCCTCTACACCTGTGGCACACGTTCACCAAGTCAGCAGCCATGTCAGGGCTGGATTTCAAACCCCCCACTCTCCTCCTCAGCCAGGCACAAACTGCAGAGGCAGGAGTGGCAGAGAGAGAGGGTCATTTTTGAAGAGCAAATGGAAATGAAGAACCACCATGACCACAGACATGTTCTCAAAGAGAAAAATATTAGCAAAGAGTCTGTCACAGATCAAGATCTGGAATTTTCTTTGTTACTTCCTTTAAAACTGTCTGTTCATAAGTATCCCTTGGGAAGTCTCCACGTATGCCAGGACTTACATGTATCCTAAGTATGAAGACCATTCCCCTACAATATGGAAGCATTCCGCAGCTTTGTTGTACAGAACACCAACTTGGTCTTTAGTACTGTCCATGAGTATCATTTAGTACCATCATTCCATGAGTTCATTCAACTTCTCTTACCTTGGCTATATTATTACTAATTTCCAGGGACTGTTTCTTATCTCTGACTAATTTCTTTTTTTAGAGTATCTTGTTTTATTTTAGGAATGTGTTTCCCTCCCAAATCTCTCTGAGGATTCCATTTCAATTTTGTAAAATTACTTTCTGCTCCCTAAATTATCTCTACTTTCTCCAAAGTTGCTCATTAGTTTATTCTTCTCATTCCTTCTCTTTCTTGAATCTTCACCTATTGGTTCATAAGGATAGATGAAGGACTAATTTAATTAGTGTAAACAGCTTGTTTCCCCCAAATGCCCCTTCCTTGAATGAAAGAGCTACCAAGAGCTCTGTGGGAGTATAGAATGTGTAGCCAGCAGGCTTCTCCATAGAATGTACGCACACCAAGCAGCCAGTATGTGAGAAAGCCCACATCGAATGCCAAATAATAAGGATTTTCCTTCTAATGTAGTACATTTCAGTGGGTTTCACTTTCTTTTATTATTTTTGAATCTCAGTGACTGAAGTGGAAGTCTGGAACCATCTTTCTCGCCTTGTCTCTGCTTTCCTTATCTCCCAAGCATAATGTCATCTCCCAGTATCTCCTAATATTAATATCTCCCCAAGGCAGATCTCCCCCTTTGTTTATGAGGCAGTCCTTCATTTTAGCCTGGTGGGGATGTCAGCACTAAAATCTCAAGAGCCCTGTTTACTCTACTTGGGGTGAGAGGAAGGAAGAACAGAGAGAGGAAGGACCCATAGACCCAATCATTCCAAGTGTGGATCTTTGCCTAATTTCCAAATATTTCTGTAGAGCCTGTGTCTGCTTTTCTACATGTATGTATTCATGTTGCATGTACTCCAACTTGCACGTATTGATATTGGGTTTGGAGTTTCTTGGAGACCTCATGAAGGGCATTACTTCCCTCCCTCTATTTTGGGGCTGCAATTCTCCCTTCTCAGTTGGACAATCTGTTTCCCTATACTTTCCATGTTCCAGCTTTTTTTTTTTTTCCAAAACCTTCTTCCTGCTGGTTTCCCTTTCCATTATGTTTTTATCAAGCAGGTACAGGTATAAGTGTGGACACAGAAAAGGAGAGAGATATGCACACAGATCTATCAGTCTTTCTGTGATTTGTGGGAATCAGAGGAAGGGGAAGAAGTAGTATGTGTTCAGTTGACCACCTTGAAATTTTAAAACCATTAGTTCTACTACTAAAGAGATAGATATGATATAACACAAGATTTATACACATGCTTAACCAATATCTCAAGTGCCCAAAAGAAATGCCACACTTTAGATGGTACGTTCTTATTTTCCTCCACCATTAGGATTCTGCTGTAGAAGAAATTAAGAATCGCTGCCGTAATCTGCACAGGTGTACCTTCTGCTCAGTAGTCCTTGTGTGTGTCTACCATGTAGAATACCTTCTAAAGACAATGAAAGCTTCCATTAGTAAAATTTTGCAAGTTTTTTTAAAGTCCTTAAGTTTGTATGTTCCATGTGTTAGATTATTTGAGAATCTGTCAAGTATTTGCAGAGGTGAGTGGAGGTTATAAACAAGAAGGAAAATTGGTCAGATTGTCATTTTGTTTAAAAATAAAAGATTCAAATCACTTAGAGAGACTCAAAAAGATATTTCCTCTTGTAGAAAAGTGTTTACTTCTGACATAGACCAGTATTCACATACAACTATCGCTTATTCGCAGATACCATCTCTTTTTTCTTTAATATTTCAGCTCAAAATTTAATTTTTGAAGGAGTTGAACTACACAATACAAAGTTGAACTGCTTTATTTTGATTTCAGATGATGGGGCGCTTCTTCAGTGGCTTGGCACAATCAGGGGCCTGGTGCTGCTTTGATGAATTTAATCGAATTGACATAGAAGTTCTGTCCGTCATTGCGCAGCAACTCATTACCATTAGGAACGCCAAAGCGGCAAAGGTAAGGCACTGGGCAATCGACTTTCAAGGTAGCAACCCTTAAGTTTGTCATTAACTCACAGAATGTTACATTTTAGGAAGGAGATGCTGAAAATGTTAGGGAGGAATCCTGGGGAGCTCAAGGGGACTTGGCTCTCCAGAGCTCACTGGACTGGAAAAATCCAAGGAATATGGGGTGAGATGAAGATACTGAGTGGTCCTATTATTTAAAATTTGTTTGAGCCCCTTATAAGCATGCCTCTAGAGAAGAAATTTCATATTCAGAAGCGAATGGCAATGAAGGTTGGGACCAAGTCTCTACCATTCTGTGTTGACCTTTGGAGATCTGGTCACAATGGGCAGCACTGGTCTACAGCCTCTACAAACCAAAACAGCACTGCTCCAAGCCCAGCGAGGGCCCCCACTACTCCCTTGGCCCTTTCCAAAGAGCGCCAGACCTCCTCTCAATCCACCAATAAGGGTTCATCCTGGCACAGCACAGGGGACTCTGGACTCAGCTCTAGCTCCAGAGGCAGAGGCTATCTCTTTGGAAGGTGCCCTGATAAGAGTTGTTAAATATTTTGATTATCACCCTCTGCAAAAAAGCGAACTATAGAACTAATAAAAAGCAATCATGACTTGGACTATAGTGAGCTACTAAATTGTGTAAGTCATTGTGGTATGTGCTCACACTTATTTCATCTTACACCAAACCTATGTGAAGTATATGTCATTTCCCCCAAGGTAATAGGTGAAAAGAATTCAAAGTTTAAAAACTATTTTCATATACATCAAAAATTATCAGACCCTAAAGTCTAAGCTCCCTTACCTGGACCCCCTCATGTTCCTGCATACTCTGGGGAGGCCTACATTAAATGCAAGATCTTTAAATACAGAGATAGTGTACTCTATATTATGCAAGTTATTATCATCTAGTTGAGCAGTTCAGTGACAGCAAAGTATATGGAGTAAGGGGATGGGGACCAGAGAGAGTAGAGGCAGAATTGAAGCTTTGCCCCCTGGAGAGCAGCCACATGAGGGCAGAGAAAGACAGGAGAGCATCTGCAGATAACCAGCCTCGTCCTCAAGCTGCCAGTGCCAGATAAGACCGTTGGAGTGGGGTATATAACTTGAAATAGATAAACTAAACCACAGAAATTGAGAGGTTTGCTAGCACAAGCAATCATTCAGCAGCAGCAGAAAAGGTCTCCAATTGAACCATCCATTCTCTCCTCCAGGCTGCAGCACATCACCCTACTCCATCCTGATCTTCCCTGTATTCCTCATGTCTGTTGATAGCACCTTCATCTAGTGGCCCAACTAGAAACCTGGAACTCACCTTGGATTTGACCCATCACTGTCAATCCCAGAATCTAAGCCATCACCAAATCCTGTTAATTTTATCTACTAGATGCCTCTCCTCCCCACTTACACCTCTTGAATTCTGGCTCTCATCGTGTCCCCAGTGATCATTCCTTACTAATCTCCCTGTCTGTAGCCTGTCCAACCTCTCTGCTGCCAACTTCAATCCTATCACTCTGCTTAAAAGTCTTCTCTGCTTCCCCACAAACATGGGACAAAATCTAAATTATTTAGTTTAGTGTGCAAGACTCCTGATGCTCAGGCCCAGCTTAGCTATGCTTTCTGGAACTTTGCCCTTTAGCAAAGTAAATTGCCGGTCATTTCTGGAACTTGCAGTGTTGTTTCTTGCTCCTGCTCACTTTTCCTGGAATGGCTGCCCCTGTTCCTTCACCTGAAACATCCTTCTTCCTTCTTCAGATCCCAAGCAGGTTGCCTACTACCCCCATGGGCTTTGCACACACCTGCACTGTAGCATGTGTTACACTGTGTGGTCGTGGCTTCCAGGTTGATTGCAGACAGCAAGCCTGGGAGTTTCTGGTGATCTCAAGAGTGAGGCTCCTTCAGCTGTGTGCCTCCATGCCTCACCTATTGCCTCACCTGCAACAGGCACTCAACAAGTGTTTGCTGTTAAGTAAAAGTGAAGGGGTGGTGACAAAAACAGTGACAGTGGGGCCTCAACAACTCAAGAACTAAGATTAGATTGAAATTTCTTGGGGAATACCAGAAAGTGGGAGTGGAGAAGGTTTAATGGTCAGTAAGTCCAAGATGAATTTAAAATTAGTGGGGCATGGCGGGGCATGCCTGTGGTCCCACCTACTTGGCAGGCTGAGGTATGAGGTGGGAGGTTGCTTGAGCCTGAGATATCAAGGCTGCAGTGAGCTCTGATCATGCCACTTACACTCCAACCTGGGAGACAAAGCAAGACCCTGTCTCAAAAAAAGAAGAAAATAGAAAGTTGAATTGAAGAGGCTCAGTAAATGTTCAGACCTAGAAGATTTCAGGACTTGACTAGGAAGGAAGAGACAATTTGGGCAAGTCAGGTGCAGGGAGGCAGAAATCAGGAAACACAGAGCCCAGAAGATATTGGAAATAGACAGGACAGAATCAGAAATGTTCCCTGTTGTCCAACAGTGGTGTTCAGTAGTCTTTGCTTTAGTGCTTCATTACATGAGTCTTGCATTCGAGTGATAATTAGGTGAAAAATTTTACAAGTGTCTGGAAGAGTGTTAACATATATTTTATCTTCGAACAGCTCTCTAGATTCATGTTTGAGGGGAGGGAAATAAAGTTGGTGATGACTTGTGCAGCCTTCATCACAATGAATCCTGGCTATGCAGGCAGAACTGAATTGCCAGATAATTTGAAAGCCCTGTTTAGACCATTTGCGATGATGGTTCCAAATTATGCCTTGATTGCAGAGGTGAGCATCACATTATAAAGCAGTAGAAATGTAAACTTGTTTCTTTTATTTACCATTCAATTCTACCAAGGTACAAAGTTTCCTTTATGAATACCACAAGTAATGGTTATACATTATTAAGTGTAGATACGATTGTTATCACATGGAATGTTAAGTCCTGCATGTTTGTTTGTTTACTGCTATATCCGTAATACCCAGAATGATATCTGGAATATGATAGGCCCCTAAGACTGGAAAGAATCAATGAGTTTAATTAACCAGTTCATTGGGGTTTTTCAGTTCCTCTCTAGGAATTAAAATGTCTGGATTAGTTACAAAAACACAGATTATTTTTATTTCTCTTTGCACATTATTTTTTACTGGAGTCAAGGGATGTTGAGTAGTAGCCTCCTCACTATGAGGTGGGTGGAGATTGGCTTATAAGTCTGTATCAACTTAGTAAAAAAATAGTAATCATTAACAAATTAATTATTTATAATCATGTTTGTTTTTTCTGTATCCACTTAAGCATCTTTCTATTTAAACTGGCTTTAAATAGCCAAGAATTTAAATGCTAGCCAAAAATTGATGTATTTGACCAAGCACAGTGGCTCAGGCCTGTAATCCCAGCACTTTGGGAGGCCAAAGCAGGAGGATTGCTTGAGTCCAGGAGTTAGAGGCCAGCCTGGGCAACATGGTGAAATCCCATCCCTACCAAAAATATAAAAATTAGCCAGTCTCATAACCCAGTCTCAAAATAAATAAATAAATATTTAATTAATTAAAATAAAATAATTTTTAAAAAAATAATTGATATATTTAAATTTTGCACTTTTTTAAAAAAAAGAAATAGGGTCTGACTAGGCTGCCCTGGCTGGAACCAAACAGAGGTCAAGCAATCCTCCCACCTCGGCCTCTGAGTAGTTGGGACTACAGGCACATGGTACTACATCCAGCTAAATGTTATACATGTTTTTCATGGCACTTTTTATTGAGGTATAATTTATACACAATAAAGAGCACAGCTCATAAGGGTGTCGCTCAGTGAATTCTTATGCATGCATTCATCTGTGTGACCACGAAGACCAAAATATAAGGCATTTTTAGGACTCCAGAAGGCCCCTTGTGTGCTCAGTGCTGCATTTCCTAAGAAGGGACACTACCCCTTTAGGATGGAATTTGTCAGAAAATTCCTGTGATAACTGCTAATTTTAAATATTCTTCTATGTGAAATAAAAGTAATTGCTTAAGAATAGAATAGACTGTTCCAAATCCTATCATTAGAAAAATTACAACCTATATTAGTGTATTAGGTCTTTCTTGCATTGCCATAAAGAAATACCTGAGACTGGGTAATTTATGAAGAAAAGAGGTTTAATTGGCTCGTGGTTCTGCAGGCTGTACAGAAAATGTGGTGCTGGCATCTACTTGGCTTCTAGGGTAGCCTTAAGGAGCTTTTACTCGTGGTGGAAGGCGAAGCGGGAGCAGGCACTGCACATAGTGAAAACAGGAACAAGAGAGAAAGAGTGGGTTGGGGGGTGCCCCACACTTTTCAATGACCAGATCTCAGAATGCACTTACTATTGCAAAGCAGCACCAAGCCATGAGGGATCCAAGATCCACCCCCATGACCCAGACACCTCCCATCAGCCCCCACCTTCAGCACTGGGAATTATAATCCAATGTGAGATTTGGGCGGGGATAAATATCAAAACTATGTCAATTAGTATAATGCTTATGGCAGCTCAGGGGTCTGCCATACCCACTGTGGGCATGGTGGGGTGGGGGGCAGGTAAGGCAGGTAGTATCTTTACTCTTGACCCTCTCTGCAAACAGAGACAATAAATGACTTGCTCAGTGTCCGAACCTGGTAGGAAGAAAACCAAGCTGAGAGCCCAGTCCAACATGTTGTCCACATCTCATGCTTTGTCCTATTGTTATGTTACTCAGTAATGGATTGGACAAATTTAAAAGTCTAGTCTTCTGAGTGCTATTCCTATTATTTTTAGAGTTTAAATGAATTAGATTCTGTTGTCAGTGTTTTCTTTTTTTTTTTTTTTTTTTTTTTTTTTGAGACAGAGTCTGGCTCTGTCACCCAGGCTGGAGTGCAATGGCACTATCTCAGCTCACTGCAACCTCTGCCTCCCAGGTTTAAGCAAGTCTCCTGCCTTAGCCTCCTGAGTAGCTGGGATTACAGGCTTCTGCCACCATGCCCGGCTAATTTTTTGTATTTTTAGTAGAGATGGAGTTTCACCATGTTGGTCAGGCTGGTCTCAAATTCCTGACCTCAAGTGACTCACCCATCTCAGTCTCCCAAAGTGCTGGGATTACAGACATGAGCCACTGCACCCAGCCTGTCAGTAAATATTTTTAATCACCCACTGTGTGCAGAGCACTGTGCTAATCAGCAGGGATAGGTCTGTAAACAAAACAGACACCAGTAAGAACTCCTCCTCATTCTAAATTCTGCATCTGAAGCCAACTGCAGTGTTTCAGGCAGATTATAAATAGAAAAAAGGGTCTGCATCCAGCTCCACTGTCAAAGACACTAAGCATCATCTGATTCATTTAACCAAGGATGCAGAAACTTGTCAGAAGAAAGGCAGAGGAGAGGCTGACAATCTTTGCATGGCTTCCCTTGACTCCTCAGGAAACTAAGAGAGCTAGTAGCAATCACCTTCCACTAGGGTGGTGTTCCTGTCGGATCAGAGAAGTTCAGTTGTTGCTTTTGTGCTCAGGCCTAATGATACCATCCAACTTTCACGATGGGAACATTTTCAAAAGCTGAGCTCTTCTGTTCCTTGAACCAAATGTTCCCAAAGCTACATCTTCATCTACAGATGGAAAACAGAATCAGTGCCTAGGTAACCCCATACAATATTCTGCCTTCCAGTTTCCTGTGGCACAGAAAGCCTTTTTCCCTTCAATTTTTATGTTTCTTTATTAAAGGACATAACAACTTGGGAAGGTATAATGCTTAGAGTCAATTTTGACTATGTTGGTATCATGCTAATACATTGTTATCAATATAATGTAATAAGCATTGCATTATTTTTTCTATTCTAGGTAATTCTATATTCTGAAGGATTTGAATCCAGTAAAATATTAGCAAGAAAAATGACTCAGATGTATAAGCTTTGCAGTGAGCAGCTGTCTCAACAGGATCACTACGACTTTGGCATGAGAGCTGTGAAGTCTGTCCTGGTCATGGCTGGGTAAGAAACCAAAGTAGTCGAGTGAAATCCCAAACCATGTGACCAAATGCACTGAATGGGTAACTCAGGAAAGGCTCTCAGACAGTCAGTGATTAGTAAATGTTGGCTGCTGCTGTTGTCATCATTCTTACCTTGACGCTCCTATGACAAAGTGACACAGGCTGTCTCTCCTCAACCCATGACAGTTCTTCACTGTGAGTCCTAACATGGTTGTCCTCGATGGAAGCTGATCTCCAACTAGGCTTTGGAGAACATTAACTTCCCCTGAACTCAAATTCAAACACTGGGTTTTTGTTTACAAAAGCCTTTACTACCTTGAGATGGTATGACTAGACTTAAAAGACACACAGTCTGTTATGCATATGCAACAAAGCCAGTCATACATGTTGCCTGAGAAAACCTCAGGAGTTTAAAGAAACTTCATCATTCCAATTCAGTTCAGCTTATGTCTTAGATTTCATCTCTGTCTTTATAATATAGCCCAAGCCTAAACTTTTTTCTAGTATCTCGTAAAGAAAGAGTCTTTCCTCTTCTCAGGCCCCAACTTTTCTCTTTATAACTTCTTGAAACTACTATATCTGGAATCCCCAACTTGTCCAGAGCCTCTGAGGAGACCTATTTTATCTCTAGTCCTTCCTTTCAGGCCATGACTCATTGGCTCAGGTTCTGCACATCCAGGAACCCTCTGCCTGGCTCCTGCATCACTGGGCTCTGCACGAATCTCCCTGCACTTTTCTACCCTCTGTTCTATCTTTTAACCTCTCAGATATAGTATGTCCCCTCTTTACAGGATGGCCATTTAAGGACTAGGAATACTAAGAAGTTGAGATACACTTGCACTGAAGGAGCACAACTACAGTCCAGTGAGTCACAGAGACGGACCAATGTGCAGTCATGTAGCTGCGATGCAGGGAGGGCAGCAACAGGGCTGCACCCACCCAAGGTTCGCTGAGAAGGAGGATAGAGGACAGGAGCTTTCTAGCAAAGGGAGCCACTGGGCTGGGTTTTGAGGGGCAAAATAAGAGCAGGCAAAGAACAAGGCAAGATACTCTGGGCAGACTGAAAAGAAAATCACAGACATAGGAATCATCATGATGTATTCAAGGAACTATAAATTCAGGTTGAATAACATCGGGATTGGGGAGGATGTTGAGAAGATGTCCTTGTCATTCTCTTCAAGGCTGCGTAGCCATTGCAGGACTTGTCAGTGTGCTCTGATGGAGATGAACGCTGAGCACACAAGGGAAAATGATCCTCTCCTTCTAGCAGGAATCCTCAGGGGAAGGTCTCTGCCCTCCCTACAGGTTTAGAAAATCACATTCAACCTTATGTTCTTGTGATATGCCTTTAAATATTCCAAAATATTCCTTTAAATTTAGATCTTTAAAAAGAGAAAACCCAAACCTAAATGAAGATGTGGTGTTGATAAGAGCTTTACGAGACTCCAATTTGCCAAAATTTCTAACAGATGATGCTCTTCTGTTCAGGTAAGTTTCTAGACGTTACCAAGTAAAGCATGGCTATCGCGTAGTGGCAAATGGTAGTTTTTTCTTCAATTATTTCTTTCTCTAACAAACTGAAAACTTTCCCATCTTTTCTGGAGAAACTTATTTTGCAGTTTAAGAAATACTCGTTTAAAATAAAGATACTAAAGTTTGGGCATAATTTCAATCATTTGTGTTTTTTTATAAAAATATTATTCACCAGACTATGTGCTATACAAATTAGCATTTGGCCATAAGTTCCTGACCTAAGGGAAGTTTCTGACTCAAAAAAACTCAGACTTGGGACTTAACATAAATACAATTGTTTTTATCCATTTCGTTTTTTGTTGTTTAGTTTTACATTTCTCCAAGTTATACCTGTATATAGTTTTAAAAAGAAAATAGTTTCATAAATTAGTCACATGGAAAGCAACAGTCCCCAGTCTTTCACCAACTCCAACTTCCCAAAGACAATCATTTTCTAACTCTTTTATTTATGTATTCTGCTATCCCTCTCCAGACTTCTTAATACCACATTTACACCATTTCTTTTTCTTTTTTTCCTTTTTTTTAATTTTGACTTTTTTCAGTGGTTGCCCTAGATTTTGCAATATACATTTACAAATAATCTAAGCCCACTTTCAATTAACACAATACCATTTCATGAGAAGTGTTAGTACCTTATAATAACAATTCTATTTCTCCCTTCTATCCTAATTCCTCCCTTCCATCCCTTGTGTCATTGCTGTCATTCATTTTACTTATATATGAACATACATAAGCACATATATAATATATACATAGGCATACATAATCAAATACATTGTTGCTATAACTATTTAGAACAAACTGTTATCTGTTAGATCAATTAAGACAAAGAAAAATAAAAATTTTCATTTTACCTTCAATTATTCCATCTTCCATGCTCTTCCTTTAGGTAGATCAGAGTTTCTGACCTATGTTATTTTTCGTCTCTCTAAAGAACTTCTTTTAATATTTCTTGCAAGGCAGGGCTACTGGCAACAAATTTTCTCAATATTTATTTGTCTGAGAAAGTCTTTATTTCTCCTTCACTTTTGAAGGATAATTTCACAGGGTACAGAATTCTAGGTTGGTGGGATTTTCCTCATATGTTTCACTCCACTCTCTTCTTGCTTGCATAGTTTCTGAGGAAAAGTCAAATGAAATTCTTATCTTTGCTCATCTATAGGTAAAGTGTTTGTTTTTTTTTTTTTTTCCTTCTGGCTTCTTTCTATATTTTTTCTTTAATTTTCTGTGTTTTTAAAATGACCTGCCTCGGTATAATTTTTAGGTATTTATCCTGCTTAGTGTTTTCTGAGTTTCCTGGATCTAAGGTTTGGTGGGTGACATTAATTTGGGGAAATTCTGTTATTATTCTTTCAAATATTTCTTCTGTTCTTTTCTCCCTCTCTTACCCTCTGGTATTCCTATTGCACACGTGGTACTCCTTTTGTAGTTGTACCATGGTTCTTGGGTATTATGTTGCTTTTCCAGTCTTTATTCTCTTTACTTTTCAGTTTCAGAGGTTTCTATTGAGGTACCCTCAAGCTCAGAGGTACTTTCCTCAGCTGTGTCCAATCTACTAATAAGCCTATCAAAGGCATTCTTCATCTCTATTATAGTGTGCTGGTTTTGATAATGCATTTCTTTTTGCTTCTTTCTTTGGTTTTCCATATCTCTGCTTACATTGCCCAGCTGTTTCTGCATGCTGTCTATTTTATCCATTAGAGCCTTTCACGTATTCATCATCACTGTTCTAAATCCCTGTCCAGTAATTTCAGCATCCCTCCCATGTCTGGTTCTACTGCTTGCTCTGTCTTTTCAAATGGTGGGGAGGGGTTGCCTTTTATTATACCTCATACTATTTTCTTGATGGCTGAACATGATATAGGTTTAGAAAATAAAAAGAACTGGGCCAAAAGTAAATTGGCTATAAGTAATGTAGGGTAAGGTGCAGCAGGAGGGAAAGTGTTCTATTGTCCTAGGATTAGGACTCAGTCTTTTAATGAGCCTATGCCAACTGTAAGCTTCATAAGTGTTTCTCACTTTTTTTTCTCCACCTGTTAGGTGGTACAGGGTGACTACAGTGGCCTAGAGTTGGGTAATTCCCTTCTCTCAGTGAAAGGCTAGAGCCAGCTGGAGCTGATGTTTCCCTTCCCCCAGGTCTGTTAGGCCCTGACAAAACTCTAGCAGGTTAGGCTCTGATTAATTATCCTGGCTTCTTCTTATTAGGAAAAGCAGGGTGCTCCAGCCTATTTCATAATGGTTTCTTTTCCCCTCCCATGCCAGAAGCATGAAGAGATTTCTTTTTTTTTTTTTTTCCAAATTGTGATTTTTTTTTTTCATTTCCAACTTTTATTTTAAGGTCCAGGGTACATGTGCAGGATGTGCAGGTGTGTTCGGTAGGTAAACATGTGCCATGGTGGTTTGCTGCACAGGCATTCACCCAGCATTCAGGCAGGCATTCAGCCCAGCATCCATTAGCTATTTTTCCTGACCCTCTCCCTCCTCCCACTCCCCACCCTCTGACAGGCTCTGGTGTGTGTTGTTCCCCACCATGTGTCCATGTGTTCTCATCATTTAGCTCCTACTTATAAGTGAGAGCATACAGTATTTGGTGTTCTGTTCCTGCATTAGTTTGCTAAGGATAATGGCCTCCAGCTCCATCCATGTTCCTGCAAAGGATATAATCTCTTTCCTCTTTATGGCTGCATAGTATTCCAAGGTGCATGTGTACCACATTTTCTTTATCCAGTCTCTCATTGATGGGTTTTTAAGTTGGTTACATGTCTTTGCTATTTATAATAATGCTGCAATGAACATACACATGTATGTGTCTTTATAACAGAATGACTTATATTTTTTTAAGTGTATACCCAGTAATGGGATTGCTGGGTCAAATGGTAGTTCTGTTTTTAGCTCTTTGGGGAATCACTAAACTGCTTTCCACAGTGGTTGAACTAATTTACACTCCCACCAACAGTGTAAAAGCATTCTTTTTTCTCCACAACCTCACCAACATCTGTTGTTTTTCGACTTTTTAGTAATAGCCATTCTAGGCTGGGCGTGGTGGCTCACACCGGTAATCCCAACAACTTTGGGAGGACAAGGCAGGTGGATCATCTAAGGTCAAGAGTTTGAGACCAGCCTGACCAATATGATGAAATCCTGTCTCTACTAAAAATATAAAATTAGCTGGGCATGGTGGCACATGCCTGTAATCCCAGCTACTTGGGAGGCTGAGGCAGGAGAATCACTTGAACCCAGGAGGTGGAGGTTGCAGTAAGCCGAGATTGTGCCATTGCACTCCAGCCTGGACAACAAAAGTGAAACTCCATCTCAAAAAAAAATAATAATAATAATAGCCATTCTAACTGGCATGAGATGGTATCACATTGTGATTTTGATTTGCGTTTCTCTATTGATCAGTAATGTTGAGTTTTTTTTCATGTTTGTTGGCTGCATGTGTGTTGTCTTTTGAGAAGTGCCTGTTCATGTACTTTGCCCACTTTTTAATGGGGCTGTTTGTTTTTTCTTATAAATTTGTTTAAGTTCCTTATAGATGCTGGATATTAGACCTCTGCCAGATGCATAGATTGCAAAAATTTTCACATGATGGGATTTCTCTCAGATATTTACTCCAAGAACCTGGTTGAGCTCCTAGAGGTAAAATTCACAAAAGATGTGCCCCTCCACCCCATGACTGGATGCCCCAGACATCTCCACATCTAGCCTAAAGCAATGTATCAATTACAGCTGACATTTTCCTACCCTGGCACTGGCTTCTATACTAGTTTGTTGTGATCCTGTGTATGTGACTGTCTGTGTCTCCAGTGTTGAGGGCAGAGGTATCTACAGGCATACCTCATTTTATTTCACTTCATTTTATTGCAATTCGCAGATGTCATGTATTTTATAAACTGAAGGTTTGTAGTAACCCTTCATCAAGCAAGTTTATCAGCACAATTTTTCCGACAGTTTGTATTTACCATGTGTATATGTGGTAATTTTAGTAATTCTCACAATATTTCAAACTTTTTTATTATTATATCTGTTATGGTGATCTGTGATCAGTGATCTTTGATGTTACTATTGCAGTTGTTCTGGGAGCACCACAAACTGCACCCATACATGACAGCAAACTTAACTGATAAATGTGTGTGCTCTGCTCCACAGACAGCAGTTCTGCCATCTCTCTCCTTCTCCTTGGGCCTCCCTCTTCTCTGAGACACAATAATATTGAAATTAGGCCAACTAATGACCCTACAAGGGTCACTAGTGTTCAGATGAAAGGAAGAGTCACACACCTCTCACCTTAAATCAAAAGCTGGAAACGATTAAACTTAGTGAGGAAGACATGTCTAAAGCCAAGATAGGCTGAAAGCTAGGCCTCTTGTGCCAAATAGCCTAATTGTGAATGCAAAGGAAAAGATATTGAAAGAAATTAAAAGTGCTACTCCAGTGAATACATGACTGATAAGAAACATAAAGTAACCTTATTACTGATAAGGAGAAAGTTTTAGTGGTCTGGATAAAAGATTAAACCAGCCACAACATTCCATTAAGCCAAAGCCTAATCAAGGCCCTAACTCTCTTCAATTCTATAAAGGGAGAAAAAGTGGTGAGGAAGCTGCAGAAGAAAAGTTCGAAGCTAGCAGACATGTGACTGAATTGCTGCAATCTCATAATAAAACCTGCATGGATGAGGAGATGCTTCTTATGGATTAGCAAAGAAAGTCATTTTTTGTTTGTTTGTTTCTTTGCTTTGAGACAGTCTCACTCTGTCACCAGGCTGGAGTGCAGTGACACAATTTTGGCTCACTGCAACCTCTGCCTCCCAGGTTCAAGCAATTCTCCTGCCTCAACCTCCCAAGTAGCTGGGACTAACAGGCGCACGCCACCACCCCTGGCTAATTTTGTATTTTTGGTAGAGGAAGAATTTCACCCTGTTGGCCAGGCTGGTCTTGAACTCCTGGCCTCAA